ATCCAAAGAAATGTTGGGGCACCCACGACCTAGGTGAAAGGGTTTACACCATTGGGCCTTGTGGGCGATTTGAAGTTGCCATTATTAACCCGCTTAGGTTAGTCTGTTTTTAGTAACCTGATGTCTGTGGTCTTCAGTCTGTGCAACTTAGACCATCCAGCGTTGCCTTTTGTTCGTTCTGTGCAAGTAAAACCGCCATTAATTACTGCACAAATGTCCTTGATACCTAACCTCCTAATTTCCAGTGGCCGTTGTAGACCGCCTCATACAACAGAAACCGAAGAAACTGATGCCCAGAAAGGTGGTCCACTGGAACGGTGGATCTGTTTTTCCGCCCATTCAGATACTCAGTTTTCCATTTTGGGTGTCAGTGAGGCTGGACAAAGTCAAGAAGCCACAGAATGCAATGACGCGAAATTCAATGTCCATGCATTCGGTGAAAAACCACAACTTTCATAACACACTGCCTGCCTCCCCGGTACAATTCCATCGGCGGTTTCAGCATCTTCGTAGCCAAGATCTCGTGCAAACTCCTGCGTTCATAGACCCTTCCCCGACCAACAAGACAAACACAAAAATGAACAGTGTAATCTCGCGCTGCTTAATTTTTCCACCCGACCGTATCGGGGGCCACTCTTATTGACCCAGCCTTCTATATCTCAATTTTCCCATAACTTGCCTTGCACATATACGATTCCGTTTTGACGTGCAACCCAACCGCGAATTTTAGCTCAACATGGCACGAGACACACTTGCCGGTCAATCTACGTCCTGTTTAGGTCTTTTCCCATCCGGAAGACGAAGTACATGAAACGAAGATTCCAATTTATAGAGCAACCATCAAACCAAAACCCGAAAGGTCTCCATGGGCAAGGAGTATACTCTCCCAGAAGTGGCGATTGTCGTCTCCACCGAACAGAGGATGTCATGTTTTGGAACACAATATACACCGGATTATCAGGATAGAACTAGTAGTTGAGCAAAGGTAGATGTAGCTCACATGGGTCAAACTGGCCATTTGGGACCATAATGCACAACCGGTACCACAAGCTACAAGCCAGTTCACGATTCTAATTGGCGAATTACCTGCTTGGGATTGCATAACCAGCACAAAGGCAATTAATACCAGCGGTACTATAAGACAGCAAGGTTGGAAAGAATCCCCGGACCCACAAACAAACTTCACCCTTGTAGCTGGTCCTGTCTAAACAGTTTCGCGATCCGATGCAAAATCACGCTTTAACGAGACAAGCTGGATTTACTCACCGACCGACTATCCAAGATGAAAGTTTTATTGAGCCTCGGCCGAGGCATTTAATTTAAAAACCCGGAAATATGGGGACAAAAGAACTGGAGCAAGATGTTTGTATCTGGCCGTTTCCAGGTTATTGATGAGAACCCAGCTCATCCAATCGAAACGGCTAGCACGGCTGGATAATCAAACACATCTTAATAGCACCGGTAGCGCAAGAGAAATTTGTCCTGGAATAATCACCTGGAGTCACGCACGACTATGAAACGAATTCAGTAGCCCGGGGTTGAAGGGACAAAGCGCGGAAATAGCGGTCGTCTGGTTCATCGCACGACCTTGCTTCTAGGATTAGTCTACTCACCGGAAAACGATTAGTAACATGAGACCACTTAGATAATCAGCAGCCTAGATATGCATCACCCACTAAACGAGCCATCATCACTGACCGTAATAACAAGGCGGAGAATCGGGGCCACACATTCACAACCACGCATATCTATCTGAATACCTAAACAGATCATACGCACCTAGGGTCAAATAAACAAACTAATGCCGACACCTCACACAAAATGAATGAAATTAGAAGACTAAACGCCAGTGACAGGCCCTACAGAAGGGTTCTTGGAACGGCCGTAGTCAGGTAACTGTTCACTTCTTTAATATTCATTGGAGGACCAGAGAGGACAAATATGGAAATAGTTGAGCGGCTGTTACCTAAACACACACCTAAACGCAAAGCGACCGCACAAGAAGTTAGGGGAACAGTGACTGAAAAGGCGCACCCCAGTATCGAAGTAGCGTGACCTCCAGAGAAAGCGGTAATCTATCACGAACATCCCCGCGAGAAAACCAGGTGCTCTTGTTTTCTAGTCAGGTGGATGAGTGACAATGGAAGTCTGATAAAGCGTTTCATAGCCGTCACAATTTAAGGACGTGAAAAAAACAATGATCTCGACGGTGCACGAAACTCCATACGCGACACACCCACCCTGGCTTGACAACGGAAGACTTCGGTCATACTAACGAAATGGCTGCAGTGCGAAAAGCGGATAGCATGAGACGCACAAGCACCGTGCACAGCTTCAAGGGCACGAAAAGCTATAGGCAAACGGCAGACCATCACCTGCCGTCACAGGTGAGTGGGGTACCTCGATTACATTTTTCTCACTACACCCCCCCCCC